GTCTCGCTCTGTCGCCCAGCCTGGAGTGCAGTGGCCGGATCTCAGCTCCGCCTCCTGGGTTTACCCCATTCTCCTGCCTCAGCCTCCCGAGTAGCTGGGACTACAGGCGCCCGCCACCTCGCCTGGCTAGTTTTTTGTATTTTTTAGTAGAGATGGGGTTTCACCGGGTTAGTCAGGATGGTCTTGATCTCCTGACCTCGTGATCTGCCCATCTCGGCCTCCCCAAGTGCTGGGATTACAGGCTTGAGCCACCGCGCCTGGCCTTGGATATCTAATTTTTAACAACTTTCCTGGTGATTCTTAAGCACATTAAAATTTGAGAACCACTGCTCTATGTCCAATATCATTTTAACCTGGAAAATATGCACTCACCAATCCTCCAATCAATGTTATTACCTGGGTTTGCCTGATCATAAAGGTCACTGGAGGGCTCGATAAAAGTACACATTCTTAGGTCTTTCTGCTGGTGGGAATCATGTATAAAACAAAGTCCAAAAATCTACATTTAAAAAAATTTTTTTATATGTTTTGCTTTTCTTGAGATGGGGTCTCTCCCTATCGCCCAGGCTGGAATGCAGTGGCGTGATCTCAGCTCACTGCAACATGTGCCTCCCGGGTTCAAGCAATTCACTGGCCTCAGCCTCCTCAGTAGCGAGATTACAGGTGCCCATCAACATGCCCAGTTAATTTTTGTATTTTTAGTAGAGACAGGGTTTCACCATGCTGGCCAGGCTGGTCTTGAACTCCTGACCTTGTGATCTACCCCCTTTGGCCCCCCAGAGTTCTGGGATTAGAGGTGTGAGTCACCACACCCGGCCAGCTTCTGGAAGAATTTGATCCAGTGTTGCATTTTTCTTTCACCCACAGAGACAAGAATGAAGATAATAGCTACAGCATTTATTGAGCACTAATTCTGTGCCCACCACCATGTAACTGATTCTCCTCAAAACCTCTGAGGCATAGACCACTGTACTACTGCCATCCCCATTTTATGGAGAAAATACTGAGGGGTTAAGTACCTTGCTAGGTGCAGGCAGTTATTAAAGCGGTAGAGCTGGGATTCCAAACCATTCTTGTAACCAAAGCAACGCTGTGTCTCTGGACTTCATCCAGACCAATTTCTCTGATGCTCAAAATCTGCCTGCATTAAATGTGCTTTCGTGAAATGTATTTCTTTTTTTCTTTTTTGAGATGGAGTCTTGCTGTGTTACCCAGGCTGCAGTGCAATGGCACAACCTCCACCTCCCAGGTTCAAGCAATTCTGCCTCAGCCTCCCAAGTAGCTGCGATTACAGGCACCCACCACCATGCCAGCTAATTTTTGTATTTTTCGTAGAGACAGGGTTTCACCATGTTGGCCAGGCTGGTCTTGAACTCTTGACCTCAGGTGATCTGCCCACCTTGGCCTCCCAAAGTGCTCGGATTACAGGCAGGAGCCACTGCGCCTGGCCAAAATATATTTCTTATATAAAAGAGAAAGTTTTCCTTGGCTGTGTTCTACTCATGGCTAAAAGTTTCCTCAAATGGGCCTTGTTTCTTTTTCCTTTTCTTCCTTCTCCTTCTCCTTCTTCCTCCTCCTCCTCATCCTCCTACTTCTTCTGTAGAACAGCTAGAAAAAGTCTTGTTCTTAACCCAAAGAAGCCTCTTCTAAGAATGTTTTCTATATCAGTGAGACTAATTAAATTGGAAAAGATCACCAACTGAATGATAAAACAAGGTAAAGCCTTTTGCTAATTATTTTTGAATAATTTATTCCTGGGCTCCCTGTGACTTGTTGAGGAATTGCAAGATACTGGGAAGTCTCTAATTAGGGAGTTTTAGAATAAACAGAAGTATAAACATTCACAGGAGTTAGATTTGAAGAAAATTGCTTTTAACACACAGACTCACAAGGAAGTGAGCATCTTGGCGGGGGTTATTTATTATGTGTTTTACTTTGAACCAAAAACATGTGCGTTGATTAGGTCAAAAGTGTTCTTGTCCTCACATAGTGAAGGAAATGTATGTAAGATAAGGATGAATGTGGTAAGCAGGGAGATCCAGGCACGGCTGGCGTTTGGCTTTGCTGTTGGCTGCAATGTGAACTGTGGACTGTGGGCAAATTAACGCACCACTTTATGAATGGCCTGACCAGGCGCCGTGGCTCACGCTTGTAGTCCCAGAACTTTGGTAGGCTGAGGTGGGTGGATCATGAGGTCAGGAGATTGAGATCTTGGCTAACACAGTGAAACCCCATCTCTACTGAAAATACAAAAAAATTAGTCAGGCGTGGTGGCGGCGCCTGTAGTCCCAGCTACTCAGGAGGCTGAGGCAGGAGAACGGTGTGAACCCAGGAGGCAGAGCTTGCAGTGAGCCGAGATTGCGCCACTGCACTCCAGTCTGGGCGACAGAGCGAGACTCCGTTCTAAAAAAAAAAAAAAAAGACAGTCTTGCTCTGTCACCCAGGCTGGAGTGCAGTGGCGCAATCTCGGCTCACTGCAACCTCTGCCTCCTGAGTTCAAGTGATTCTCGTGCCTCAGCCTCCCAAGTAGCTGAGACTCCAGGTGTGCACCACCTCTCCTGGCTACTTTTTAAATTTTCTGTAGGGTCTTGCTATGTTGCCAGGCTGCTCTCAAACTCCTCGAGCTGGGATTACAGGTATGTACTTCTGCACTCAACCAATTTTGTCATTCCTTTTTGGTTTTTTGAGACAGGGTCTCACCCTGTCACCCAGGCTGGAGTGCAGTGGCACAGTCATGGCTCACTGTAGCCTTGAACTTCTGGGCTCAAGTGATCCTCCTGCCTCAGCTTCTGAGTAGCTGGGATGACATTTGTACCACAATCCCAGGCTAATTTATATAGAGATGGAGTTTTGCCATATTGCTCAGCTGGTCTTGAACCTCTGTGCTTAAGCAATCCTCCCGCCTCAGCCTCCCAAAATGCTGGGATCACAGGCGTGAGCCACCGTTCCTGGCTCATTTTGTCATTTCTTGAAAATGAGATTAGGAGCTCCCTGAGAAAACTCTTCATTTTACTTTTAAGTATTTCTCCTTAAACTAGTCCAATGTTCATTGCTTAGCCAACCCCAACACTGGCTATAAACTATCTAAGCTAACAATTCAAAAGCAGCCAGTGTGGTGGCTCATGCCTGTAATCGTAGCACTTTGGGAGGCTGAGGTGGGTGGATCACCTGAGGTCAGGAGTTCGAGACCAGCCTGGCCAACATAGCAAAACCCTGCCTCTACTAAAAATACAAAAAATTAGCTGGGCGTGATGGCGGGCACCTGTAATCCCAGCTGCTTGGGAGGTGGAGGCAAGTGAATTGCTTGAACCTGGGAGGCAGAGGTTGCAGTGAGCTGAGATCGCACCATTGCACTCCAGCCTGGGTGACAGAGTGAGACTCTGTCAAAGAAAAAAAAAAGAAAAACAAAAAGATTCAAAGGCTAGGCACGGTGGCTCATGCCTGTAATCCCAGCACTTTGGGAGGCCAAGGCAGGCAGATCACCTGAGGTCAGGAGTTCGAGACCAGCCTGGCTGGAACCTTTTGTTTTTGAGATGGAGTCTTGCTCTGTCATGCCCAGGCTAGAGTGCAGTGGTGCGATCTCAGCTCACTGCAACTTCCCGCCTCCTGGGTTCAAGTGATTCTCCTGCCTCAGCCCCCCGAGTAGCTGGGATTACAGGTGCCTGCTACCACACCTGGATAACTTTTGTATTTTTAGTAGAAACAGGGCTTCACCATGCTGGTCAGGCTGGTCTCAAACTCCTGACCATAGGTGATCCGGCTGTCTCTGCCTCCAAAAGTGCTGGGATTACAGGCATGAGTTACCTTCGCATCCAGTCAAAAAGGTTCCTTTTAGCCCCTTTTCATTCATCATTCACAAAGACTATCTTTTTTAAATTTTTATTTTTTAGACAATACCTATTTTTAGATCTCAGGAAACTAGGTGGTAAAAACTTCAGCACACACACACACACATATATATATATATATATATATATATATTTTTTTTTTTTTTTTTTTTTTTTTTTTTTTGAGATGGAGTCTTGTTCTGTTACCCAGGTTGGAGTGTAGTGATGCGATCTTAGCTCACTGTAACCTCCACCTTCTGGGTTTGAGTGATTCTCATGCCTCAGCCTCCTGAGTAGCTGCAATGATAGGCACCCATCACCACTCCCAGCTAATTATTTTGTATTTTTTGTAGAGATGGGGTTTCACCATGTTGCCTAGGCAGGTCTCAAACTCCTGGCCTCAGGTGATCTGCCCACCTTGGCCTCTCAAAGTGCTGGGATTACAGGTGTGAGCCACTGCGCCTGGCTACACTATATTTTTGGTGTAGTTTTTCTTACGTTAGAATAACATGATAAAGGCTATGCCCTATGTGAAATTGACACATTTGATATTTATGACACCTGCTATATAGCATTTGTTTCCTGCATTGATTTTAAAATGCTTAGAAATAAAATACCCGGCTGGGCATGTTGGCTCACACCTATAATCCCAGCACTCTAGCAGGCAAAGGTAGGAGGATCACTTGAGCCAGGAGTTTAAAATTAGGCTGGGCAACATAGTGAGACCTCATCTCTACAAAAACTAAACAAAATTAGATAGGTGTGGTGGTATGCACCAGCAGTCCCAACTACTCAGGAGGCTGAGATGGGAAGATTGCTTGAGTCCGGGAGCTGAGATCGCGCCACTGCACTCTGGCCTAGGTGATACAGCGAGACCCCGTCTCAAAAAATAAATAAAACCAGGGCTGGGTGTGGTGGCTCATGCCTGTAATCCCAGCACTTTGGGAGGCCAAGGCAGGCAGATTACAAGGTCAGGAGTTCGAGACCAGCCTGGCCAATGTGACGAAACCCCGTCTCTACTAAAAATACAAAACTTAGCCAGCATGGTGGCGTGTGCCTGCAATCCCAGCTACTTGGGAGGCTGAGATACCAGAATGGTTTGAACTGGGAGGCAGATATTGCAGTGAGCTGAGATCATGCCACTGCACTCCAACCTGGGCAACAAAGGGCGAAACTCCGTCTCAAAAAAAAAATAAAGAAATAATAAATAAATATATTAAAAAAACAAAAGTACAACCTGCAAAAATATTAGCATCCTTAATACATACAGCAGGAGGACAGGTTTCCATGTCTGTGGCACCATCTCCAATCATGATTATTTTCTTAAAATGAAATTTTTCCTTTAAAAGTTTAATCACTTTTCCTTTTCCACCAGATTCAGCTGTTGGCTGTGTCTCATCAAAACCTGCATATTCACCTTAAAAGAGCAATAAAAACAAGGTTAAAGACCCACAGAAGTATCTTACCAGTGACAGCTTTCTGCATAGATGAGACCTTCACTTAAATGTCACTGAGAAGGCCAAAAATGGCCCTGGGTAAAGTCGCACAGCCTGGAGCTCCATACCTGTTCCTGGGAATAAACAAGCTTTACTTTTTCTCCTTTTATGATTATGATTATAGAAATGGGGTCTTGGCATGTTGCCCAGGTTGGTCTGGAACTCCTAGGCTCATGTGATTCTCCTGCCTCGGCCTCCCAAAGTGCTGGGATTACAGGTGTGAGCCACCACACCCAACCAACCTTTGCTTTTAAATTACAAATATCAATTGTAGAGATGACCTCTATTAGGTCATAAATACCTAGGGGTGAATTTGTTGTATCCTTCAAGCTTCCAGTAATTCTCAAACTTTGTTGAGGTAGCAGAACACCATACAATAGTAATATATCAAATTAATTAATAATTTATTTATTTTTGAGACAGAGTCTCACTCTGTTGCCCAGGCTGGAGTGCAATGGCCTGATCTCCGCTTACTGCAATATCCGCCTCCCAGGTTCAAACCATTCTCGTGTCTCAGCCTCCCAAGTAGCTGGGATTACAGGTGCATGCCACCATGCTGGCTAAGTTTTGTGTTTTTAGTAGAGATGGGGTTTTGCCATGTTGGCCAGGCTGGTCTCGAACTCCTGACCACAGATGATCAGCCTGCCTCGGCCTCCCAAAGTTCTGGGATTACAGGCGTGAGCCTCCGCACCCAGTCTTAATATATTAAATTTAAAATGTTAATATATTATGTCACCCAAGAGGAAATTCCAGCTTATTTTTGATCAGTTATTTCTGTTGTTACAGTAATTACCACACTCATTCTTGACTTCTTTTTTCAATGATCTCTATCTCTAGACCACTCAAGAATGTTCTATTAACATGCGGTGGCTCATGCCTGCAATCCCAATACTTTGGGAGGCCGAGGCAGGTGGATCATCTGAGGCCAGGAGTTTGAGACCAGCCTGACAAACATGGTGAAACCCCGACTCTACTAAAAAAAATACAAAAATTAGCCAGATGTGGTGGTGGGCACCTGTAATCCCAGCTACTCAGGAGGCCGAGGCAGGAGAATTGCTTGAACCCAGGCAGCAGAGGTCACAGTGAGCCGAGATCGAGCCACTGTACTCCAGCTGGAGCAACAGAGTGAGACTCTGTCTCAAAAAAAAAAAAAAAAACAAATCACTCTCAGTCACCCCTTAATATAACTGGAGATCTGAGATAATATAACAACTGTAGCAACGCTATGGACCAGAGAGGGGACAGGAGGCTTCCCCAAGGGCTGTAGTTCAGTAATCCGTTAACAAAAGTCTCCCTTTTAAAGTCTCTGTCTTGTTGTCTTTTTTTTTTTTCTTGCTTTTAAGACAGAGTCTCACTCTGTCACCCAGGCTGGAGTGAAGTGGCATGATCTCAGCTCACACAGCCTCATGTGATTCTCCTGCCTCAGCCTCCTAAGTAGCTGGGACATGTGCCACCACGCCCAGCTAATTTTTGTATTTTTTTTTTAAGCAGACTTGGGGTTTCACTGTGTTGGCCAGGCTGCTCTTGAACTCCTGACCTCAAGTGATCCTCCCGCCTCAGGCTCCCAAAGTGCTGGGATTACAGGCGTGAGCCACCATGCCCAGCCAAGTCTCCTTCTTGAGTCTAAATTGCTTCAAATGCACAGAAGCTCCCATAAAGTTGAAATATAACATACAGCAAAGTAAGTCATAGGGGCTATGTAGGAATTAATGTTTCATGAAATGCAGACATTTATGTACAGACAGGTGATGTTATAGATAATAAAGCTAGGACAGGTGATGACCTAAGTCTATTTTGCTGAGCAAAGGGTACCAAAGGGCAAAAGACATCAATTAAGAGGACCATTCATCTCAATATTTAACTCTGATGTGACTGTTTAAGTTTCATTCCAACAGACATTACCCAGAATACTGAATAATAGAACTGCTAAGAAAGGGAATATGTTACCATTAACGTCTTACCGTTAAAGTAGAATTTCAGCCTATTGGCAAATACATTGGTTCCTGGGATATTGAGCTTTGAAGCAACATGCTCTACAATACTCCTAAAGCCACCAGATATTAGGAAAACCTGAACATTTCGCTCCTGTAGGCGACTTACCAGCTCCCTGCAAAAATAATATACAAAATACCAAACACTGAGTAATACAAAAAGAAAAAAAAAAAAGGAAACATGAAGAGGGAACTAAGATATATTTTCTTCTCCTGAATGCATTTGCCTGAGGTATATTTGACAAGGTATATTGCCTGGGGAGTTAATGTTTTATATATGTTTTTCTTTTTCTTTTTTTTTTCTTTTTGAGATGGAGTCTCGCTCTGTTGCCCAGGCTGCAGTGCAGTGGTGTGATCTCGGCTTACAGCATCCTCTGCCTCCAGGGTTCCAGCAATTATCCTCCCTCAGCCTCAAGGGTAACTGGGATTACAGGCACCCGCCACCACACCCAGCTACTTTATTTTATTTTATTTTTTGAGATGGAGTCTCGCTCTGTCACCAGGCTGGAGTACAGTGGCGCGATCTCGGCTCACTGCAACCTCCGCCTACCAGATTCAAGCGATTCTCTTGCGTCAGCCTCCCAAGTAGCTGGGACAACAGACGCAGCCACCATGTCCAGCTAATTTTTGTATTTTAAATAGACACAGGGTTTCACCATGTTGGCCAGGATGGTCTCCATCTCTTGACCTTGTGGTCCGCCCGCCTCGGCCTCCCCAAGTGCTGAAGTGCGAGCCACCACGCCTGACCAACTTTTTTTGCATTTTTAGTAGAGACGGGGATTCACCATGTTGGCCAGGCTGGTCTTGAACTCCTGACCTCAGGTGATCTGCCCACCTCAGCCTCCCAAAATGCTGGGATTACATGCATGCGCCACCACGCCCAGCCTTATATATGTTTTTCTAAATGCACTTAGAAATCAATGGGTAGAGTTTGGCTACTTCAGGAAACCATTCCAGAACTCTACTCTGTCCATGGACCCAGAAAAATACAAGATGAGGACAAACAAGGAAAACTTAGGTTTTCTGTGGAGAAAGACGAAAGGCAGAAACAGACAGGACCACACAACCAGCCAGACAAGACCATGTGTAAGTACCAAAAGAACCACACAGGCTACGCCTTTAAATCCAGCAATTTGGGAGGCCGAGGTAGAAAATCACTTGAGGCCAGGAGCTTGAGAACAGCCTGGGCAACATAGCAAGACCCCATCTCTACAAAAAATATTTTAAAGGCTGGGTATAGTGGTTCAAACCTATAATTCCAACATTTTGGGAGGCTGAGGTGGGAAAATTGATCATTTGAGCCCACATGTTCAAGACCAGCCTGGTGAACATAGTGAGACCCTGTGTCTACAGAAAATTTTAAAAAAATAATTAGGCATGGTGGTCTACATCTGTAGTCCCAGCTACTTAGGAAGCTGAAGCAGGAAGATCCCTTGAGCCCAGAAGGTTGATGCTACAGTGAGCTGTATTCATGCCACTGCACTCCAGCCTGGGTGACAAAGCAAGACCCTGTCTCTCAAAAAAAAATTTTTTTTTTAATTAGCTGGGCATGGTGGCATGCACCTATAGTCCCCACTACTAAGGAGGCTAAGGTGGAAGGGCCACTTGACCCCAGGAGTTCAACGCTGCAGTGAGCCATGACTGTACTCCAACATGGGCAACAGAATGAGACGCTGACTCTAAAAAAAATAATAATAGGCCGGGTGCAGTGGCTCACAGCTATAATCCCAGCACTTTGGGAGGCCCAGGCAGGCGGATCACTTGAGGTCAAGAGTTCAAGACCAGCATGGCCAACATGGTGAAACCCATCTCTACTAAAAATACAAAAATTACCCAGGTGTGGTGGCGGGGACCTATAATCCCAGCTACTCAGGAGGCTGAGGCAGGAGAATTGCATGAACCTGGGAGGCAGAAGTTGCAGTGAGCTGAGATTGCACCACTGCACTCCAGCCTGAGTGACAGAGTGAGACTTCATCTTGAAAAAATAAATAAAAATTTAAAAAATAATAATAAAATTTAAAAATAAAAATGAAAATAAATAAATCACCCAGAGGGCGCTCTAAAGGAATAGTTAGATGCTCTCAGGAGAATGTGCCCCCCAACACTGGTGCTGAAATACACCTGGAGCAGGGGCTCCTCTTACCTTATGCCGGGGGTCAGGTGTGGGGGGTGCTCTGCTATGAGTCTCTGCACCTGCTCCCTGGAGGGCTGGATGAGGGCTAAGCGCTCTGTGAGAGCAGATTTGAAAGGCACTGCCCCGCCCATGGCTCGCCGTGTCCTAGGAGGGAGACCCAACAGTCAGGCCAGCCAGGTTCACTGTCCTCAAGGTTAACATACCTTACTGCCCCAGGCCTGCACAACATCCACCAACAGGAAGATGCTACTAAGAGCCCCACTGTACAACAGACAGGCTTTGCTGCTATGAGAGCAAGGCCTTGGAATAAATTTTCGAAGGACTGCTTGAATATAACATTAACAGGCCGGGCGCAGTGGCTCACGCCTGTAATCCCAGCACTTGGGGAGGCTGAGGCGGGCGGATCACCTGAGGTTGGAAGTTCAAGACTAGCCAGACCAACATGGAGAGACACCGTGTCTACTAAAAATACAAAAGTAGCCGGGCATGGTGGCACACGCCTGTAATCCCAGCTACTCAGGAGGCAGAGGCAGGAGAATTGCTTGAACCCGGAGGTGGAGGTTGCGGTGAGCCGAGATCATGCCACTGCACTCCAGCCGGGGCAACGAGAGTGAAACTGTCTCAGAAAAAAAAGGAAAGAAAAAGAAAATAACATTAAAAGGCCAGTGTGCAGTGACTCATGCCTATAATTCCAAACACTTTGGGAAGCTGAGGTGGGCAGATCATCTGAAGCCAGGAGCTTGAGACCAGCCTGGCCAACATGGCAAAACCCCATCTCTACTAAAAAAATGCAAAAATTCGACGGGCCTGGGGGTGCGCGTCTGTAATCCCAGCTACTTGGGAGGCTGAGGCAGGAAAATTGCTGGAACCCGGGAGGCAAAGGTTGCAGTGAGCCGAGATTGTGTCACTGCACTCCAGCCTGGGCGACAAAATGAGACTCCGTCTCGGGAAAAAAAAAAAATGACACAGTGCATGACTGGGGGACTGGGACTGCAGAGGGAGATGCCCAGCTGCAGGGCGGGAGGGCAGGAGGGAGGGAGGGAGGGACTCTGCTCCAGGATCCACTAGGAGACTCTGAACCTTTACAGGGAACCACTAAGGCCACACTTTAAACCATGACACAAAGCCACTGGACACCTGGGTCCTGCTCCCCAGGCCACCTTCTTTGGTTAGTGATGGTCGTCATTCCCCTGATCAAGCTAAGAACATGTCTTATCCATGTTTGTTTGCTATAAATATTTATATAAATGAATGAATATGTCAAATTAAACTCTAAGGGATGAAAGAAAAAGCCTAGTGCTCATGTTCCATAGCCAGGGTCTAGCACTTCATCCAAAACAGTCACTCTTTAGAAAGTCTTTATCATTTCATAAAGTGGATAAATGCTATCCCTACATTTCTGACACCGCGTCCTCAACGCCACAGATTTTGGCTAGCTCATCGATTCCTTCTTCTCTAATGACGGTGCTGTCAACATCAAAACATACAGCATCTGCTGAGTAGAACAGCTTCCTTAGCTCTGAGTGGGAGACCATTGTTGGAAGAATTTTCCTTCTACAAGAAAAAAAGATAAATGTATTTAAAAGATAAATGTATTTAAAGACATCAAATACAATTCTGAAAAGATCCCACCTTGCCTACTAAGCCAATCTAAATTGTGTCGAAGTCAGTGCAGGCCACATAAGAGTGTACTCACGGATTCATTTGTTTTTCCTTTTTGTTTACTTCCCACACTACACCAATTTCTTCTCTCTTCTTTTTTTTTTTTTTGGTGGAGTCTTACTCTGTTGTCCAGGCTGGAGGGCAGTGGTACGATCTTGGCTTACTGTAACCTCCACCTCTCGGGTTCAAGTGATTCTTGTGCCTCAGCCTCCTGAGTAGCTCAAATACCTGTGCCTCCTTGAAGCCTTCTTTCTTTTCTTTTAGTTATATATATATATACACACACACACACACACACACACATATATATATATATATATATATTTTTTTTTTTTTTTTACCTAATTGTAGCAAGGAAGCAAGCATTAAAGCAGAGGTGTGCATAAGGCTCTATGGGCATATAGGAAAAATGTTTTGCCTTATCGATGAAATAGGGCTTCAGACTGGACACAGTGGCTCATCCCTGTAATCCCAGCACTTTGGGAGGCTAAGGCAGGAGGAGGATTGCTTGAGGCCAGGAGTTCGAGACCAGTGTGGGCAACATAGAGAGCTCAAGTCTCTACTAAAAATAATAATACAAAAAATTAGCTGGGTGTGGTAGTACACGCCTGTAATCCCAGCTACTTGGGACACTGAGGCAGGAGAATCACTTGAACCCAGGAGGTGGAGCTGCAGTGAGCTGAGATCGTGCCACTGCACTCCAGTATGGGCAACAGAGCAAGACCCTGACTCTAACTAAAAGGAAAAAAAAGACGGCTTCAAGGAGGCACAGGTATTTGAGCTGAGTCTGACAGGTAAGTGGCCCTCTGAGTGGGTTGTCAAAGGGCAGGGCATCGATTTGGCAAGTGCTGTGAGGTGAGGAAGGGAGGTAGAGACAAGGAGAGAGGCTTGTGATGGCAGAGGGAGGAGCATGAGCAAAGACAAGGAGGAGGAAGCAGATGACCTGCTGGAAGCTATCCCGTGGCTTGGCCCAGGGGCCTGGCAGTGCATCAGGAGTTCAGACTAAGCGGGTCCTAGGGCCAGGCTAAGGCGTTTAGACTTTAACTTCCAGATACTGGGAAAGGCTTTAAGTCTCAGAAGAAAGGTCAGAGCTAAATATAACGGCTTAACATACACAACATTGCCAATGTAGAGGTGCTAGTTGAAGACGTGATCTGATTAAAGTCCAGGGAGAGGCTGGGTGTAGTGGCTCATGCCTGTAATCCCAGCACTCTGGGAGGCTGAGGCGGGAGGATCACATGAGGCCAGGAGTTCAAGACCAGCCTGGCCAACATGGCAAAACCCCAGCTGTACTAAAAAAAATAAAAATTAGCCGGGCAGGATGGCGTGCACCTGTAGTCCCAGCTACTCAGGAGGCTGAGGCAGGAGAATCTCTTAAACCTAGGAGGTGGAGATTGCAGTGAGCCAAGATCACACCACTACACCAGGATGGGGCCACAGAGTGAGACCCTGTCTCAAGAAAATAAAAAATCATAAAAATAAAGTCCAGGGAGAATAGAAAGAGGGAGAAGAGAAGAGCGCTAAGGACAGAGCCTACAGGACCACCACCTTTACGTCCTGACTTGAGTCTGGGAAGGAGAAGGGGAAAATGGTGAAGGTACAGGAAGAAACTCTGGGAGGCACACTGCTACAGAAGCTGCAGAGGACAGGGAGCCAAAACGAATTTTTATTTATTTATTTATTTTTTGAGACAAGTTCTCACTCTGTCACCCAGGCTGGAGTGCAGTGGTACAATCATGGCTCACTGCAGCCTCCAACTCCAGGGCTCAAGCGATCTTCTTGCCTCAGCCTCCCAAGTAGCTGGGACTACAGGTGCACGCCACTATGCTTGGCTAATTTTTAAATTTTTTTTTTGAAGAGATGGGGGTCTTGCTATGTTGCCCAGACTGGTCTTCAACTCCTGGACTCAAGCAATCCTCCCACCTAGGTCTCCCAAAGTGCTGGGATTACAGGCATGAGCCCCCATGCCTGGCCTTTATTTTTTATAAAATCTTTGGACTAGACTTAGGGCGAAAGGGATCCTCAAGATTGCCTAGACCAGCCTCCTATCAGAGACTAATATGTCAAATACAAGGCTACACAGATGATGTAAATAATCTATATTTAGAAAAGACTGTGGTTAAAAACAGACTCAAAGCAGCTGACCAACCCACTGCTCAACTGATTTCCAACCAATGCAGTTGGCAGAATAATGCCATTTAAAGTTGACCTGGGAAAAAAAATCTTTTAAGTCAGGGGTCAGCAAACTATGGCTTGTAGGCCAAATCTACCCTGCCACCTGGTTTTGTATGGCTCACAAGTAAGAACGATTTTTACATTTTATTTTACTTTACTTTTTTTGAGACAGGATCTCATTCTGTCACCCAGACTGGAGTGCAGTGGTGCCATCATAGCTCGTGGCAGCCTCAAACTCCTGGGCTCAAGTGATCCTTCCATCTTGGCCTCTAGAGTAGCTGGGACTACAGGTGTGAGCCACCATGCCCAGCTGATTTTTACATTTTAAACAGTTGAAAAAAAAATCAAAAGAAGAAGAATATTTTTTGACACGTAAAAACTAATGAAATTCAAATTTCAGGCTGGCTATAGTGGCTCACGCCTGTAATCCTAGCACTGTGGGAGGCTGAGGTGGGAGGATTACTTGAAGCCAGGAGTTCAACACCTATCTGGGCAACATACCAAGACTCCATCTCTACAAAAGTATTTTTATAATTAGCCAGGTGTAGTGGCACGCGCCTATAGACCTAGCTACTCAGGAGGGTGAGGCAGAAGGATTGCTTGAGCACAGGAGTTTGAGGCTGCAGTGAGCTACGACCATGAAATTCCACTCCAGCCTGGGTGACAGAGTGAGATGAGAGCCTGTCTTAAAAGTAATAATAATAAGTAAAAATGAAATTCAAATTTCAGTGTCTATTAATAAATCCTTTTTTTCTTTTTTCTGAGAAGGAGTTTCGCTCTGTCACCCAGACTGCAGTGCAGTGGCACAATCTTGACTCACTGCAACCTCTGCCTCCCAGGTTTAAGTGATTCTCTTGCCTCAGCCTCCCAAGTAGCTGGGATTATAGGCACATGCCACCTCGCCCAGCTAATTTTTGTGTTTTTAGTAGAGATGGGGTTTCACCATGTTGGCCAGTCTGGTCTCGAACTCCTGACCTCAAGTGATCCTCCTGCCTCAGCCTCCCAAAGAGCTGGGATTATAGGCATGAGCCACTGTACCCTACCAGAGCCACTGCACCCAGCCATTAACATAATGTCTTTATTACACACTTTATGTCCTCATGATCTGGCTCCCGTGCCTATGTATTTTACCAACCTCATTCCCCACAAATATACATACACACACATTTTTACACACACACATTATTCACATGCACACGCACACACAAACACACACTTTTTAAAATTTTGAGTTAGGGCCTTACTCTGTCACCAAGGCTGGAGTGCAGTGGTGCAATCTCAGCTCACTGCAACCTCTGCCTCCCTGGCTCAAGCGATTCTCCCACTTCAGCCTCCTGAGCATTTGGGACTACAGGCAGGCACGATGTCTGGCTAATTTTTTGTATTTTTAGTAGAGATGGTGTTTTGCCATGTTGCCCAGAGTGGTCTCAAACTTTTGAGCTAAAATGATCCATGCGACTCGGCCTCCCAAAGTGCTGGGACTACAGGCGTGAGCAATCGCGCCTGGTCAAACACACAATTTATGGCTCAAGGAATACTAAGGACTTTTTTTTTTTTTTTTTTTTTTTTTTTGAGACGGAGTCTCGCTCTGTCACGCAGGCTGGAGTATAGTGCAGTGGCACAATCTCGGCTCACTGCAACCTCCCCCTCCCAGGTTCAAGCAATTATCCTCCCTCAGCATCTGAGTAGTTGAGACTACAGGTGCATGCCACCATATCCAGCTAATTTTTGTATTTTGAGTAGAGACAGGGTTTCACCATGTTGCCCAGGCTGGTCTTGAACTCCTGACCTCAGGCGATCCGCCTGTCTTGGCCTCCCAAAGTGCTGGGATTATAGGCATGAGCCACTGCACCCAGCCTATGTCATGTGTTTTTATTCCTCTACACCCTTTCAAATGTTGCTTCTCTGCCTGGAATCACCATATCCCCCATGTCATGAAGCAAGTCCTACTTCTTCATGGTGTAGATCAAGTGGCCTCCCCTATACCACATTATTTCCACCCCATCAACCCAGAAAATCAGTCAATCACTCCAGTTGAATTATCTTCTATCACTGCACCCAGCACTCAATAGGTGTTAAATATTTCATGAATTAAGTATTTTATGAATTAAATAGAGTGGAACCTAAGCAGTTATTAAGAACTGAACAAGGGGTTGGCTGCAGTGGCTCACACTTGTAATCCCAGCACTTTGGGAGGCCGAGGCAGGAGGATCACTTGAGGTCAGGAGTTCGAGATCAGCCTGGCCAACATGGTGAAACCCCATCTCTACTAAAAATACAAAAATTAGCCAGGCATGGTGGCAGCCACCTGTAATCCAAGCTACTTGGGAAGCAGAGGCGGGAGAATCACTTGAATACAGGAGAATCTCTTGCACCTGGGAGGTAGAGAGGTGGAGACTGCATTGAGCCGAGATCGCACCACTGCACCACTGCACTGCACTGCAGCCTGGGCGACAGACCGAGACTCCATTTCAAAAAAAAACTCAACAAGGGCCAGCATGGTGGCTGACACCTGTAATCCCAGGACTTTGGGAGGCCAAGACAGGTGGATTGCTTAAGGCTAGGAGTTTGAGACCAGCCTGGCCAACATGGTGAAACCCTGTCTCTATTAAAAAAAAAAAAAAAAAAGATAAAAAATAAAAAGAAACCAGTTATTTGGCTTTGGTCCAGCAGGAATCAAGCTAATTCATACTACATGACCAGGCAGGGTCGCTGTAAAGACCTGGAAGTCAGCAGGTCTATCGGCAGAGACGCAGCACTTACTGTAGCATAATTCCACTAAGAATGAAGAATGAACCATAGGTGAGTGAAGAGGTAGCCAGAAACAGACAAATGGTTTAAGAGGAGCTAAAATAAATGGGATAAGCTAAAGGACTTTTTAAGAAGGTACATGAGAAGGCCGGGTGCTGCGGCTCATGCCTATAATCCCAGCACTTTGGGAGGCTGAGCTGGGTGGATCACCTCAGGTCGAGAGTTCGAGACCAGCCTGACCAACAGGGAGAAACCCCGTCTCTACTAAAAATACAAAATTAGCTGGATGTGGTGCCACATGCCTGTCATCCCAGCTACTCAGGAGGCTGAGGCAAGAGAATCACTTGAACCTGGGAGGTAGAGGTTGCGGTGAGCCGAGCTTGCACTATTGCACTCCAGCCTGGGCAACAAGAGTGAAACTCCGTCTCCAAAAAAAAAAAAAGAAGATGCATGAGGCAAATGAGGCAACACAACATAACTAAGAATGGGCAATGCTCCTGAGAACGACTGACGGGCACCAGAACCTCAAAGCCAGTCCCCAGGAACCCTGACACAAGACCCAAAGAGGAATGCATAATGCATGGGCGCCATCCTCAAGAGGCTTCCAGTCTTGTCGAAATGATCAGACAAATAATTACTGGTCATGTTTGAAAAACCAGTGACTTTGGCCAGGAGCGGTGGCTCACACCTGTAATCCCAGCACTTTGGGAGGCCAAGGCGGGTGAATCACGAGGTCAGAAGTTTGAGACCAGCCTGGCCAACATGGTGAAACTCCATCTCTACTAAAAGTACAAAAATTAGTCGGGCGCCTCTAATTCCAGCCACTCAGGAGGCCGAGCCAGGAGAATCGCTTGAACCCGGGAGGCGGAGGTTGCAGTGAGCTGAGATCCCACCACTGCACTCTAGCCTGGGCAACATGAGCAAGACTCCATCTGGAAAAAAAAAAAAAAAAAAGGCAAACCAGGTACTTGAACCTCTTTCCAACCAATGACACTTTAATGAGATTGGCTGGGCACAGTGGCTCACACTTGTAATAATCCCAGCAGGATCATTTGAACCCAGGAGTTTGAGATCAGTTCTTGAGAACATAGCAAGATTCCTTCTCTTTAAAAAAAAAAAAAAGAAAAAGAAAAATTGGTGGGGCATGGTGGTGCACGCCTGTGGTCCCAGATACTCAAGAGCCTGAGGCGGGAGGATGGCTTGAGCCCAGGAGTTCAAGGGTGCAGTGAGCCGAGATCAGGCCACAGCACTCCAGCTTGGGTGACAGAGTGAGACATTGTCTCAGAAAAAAAGCAAGACCATCAGCCTTGAGTTTGAAAGGAAATGTACATTTCCTCCACTAAAAGTTAGAACTGATTTACACATCCCCAGCTGACCACTAGGCCTGATATACAGCTCAGAATTGTTGACACCTGCCTTCTGGGTTGTAATGTGGTCCCAAGGAGAAAACAGAATATTTTTGGCTTTTCTTCAAGACAAAGTCTCACTCTGTCGCCCACACTGGAGTGCCAATGGTATAATCACAGCTCACTGCAGCCTCAACCTCCTGGGCTGAAGTGATCCTCCCCCCTCAGCCTCCTGAGTAGCAGAGACTACAGGCACACACCACCACACCCAGCTAAGTTATTATTATTAATATTTTTGTAGAGATGAGGTCTCACTATGTTACCCAGGCTGGTCTTGAATTCCTGGCCTCAAACGATCCTCCCATCCTGGACTCCCAAAGTGCTAGGATTATAAGCATGAGCCACAGTGCTGGCCAAAATAGAACATTAGAGACACACTTTACATTGAATTTACTTGGAAGGCTGATTCTTTTTCCACACCCTCCCTAAGACAGCGAGCTGGATTTTAGGACCTTAACTCTGCCCCTGAAATGGTCAGGCCAGGGGAGATGGCCTTTACCTTTTGGATTACAAGAGTATCAACTCCCTCCCTGCTTGATTGAGCAGCAGAGCAAACTTGGCCACAGCTCCTTTTAGCTCTTCCCATCCTGCTCTGCAAAATGCTGTACCTCCCTGTACACTTCTGATTTCCTCCTTTTTTATTTTTATTTTTACTTTTTTTGAGATGGGGTCTCACTCTGTTGCCCAGGCTGGAGTGCAGTGATGTGATCTCGGCTCACTGCAACCTCCGCCTCTTGGGTTCAAACGATTCTCCTGCCTCCCGAGTAGCTGGGATTACAGGCGCCTGCCACCACGCCTGGCTAATTCTTTTGTATTTTTTAGTAGAGACAGGGTTTCACCATGTTGGTCAGGCCAGTCTCAAATTCCTGACCTCAAGTGATCCACCTGCCTCAGCCTCCCAAAGTGTAGGAATGACAGGTGTGAGCCACCACGCCTGGCCAATTTCCTCCTCTTTTCATTGTCTCTACCAGGATTGACTTGCAATCCATGTGTATTTAAAATTCTCGTGGCTATAGAGGAAAAAAATCTGCTGAGTAAGGTCAGTTGCTTCAAAGTAAATTGTGTACATCAGAATTCCACACACAGAAAAATCATTGCCGGAGAATGGACTCTGGATTCTTCATATTTGGCTCTAACAGGGAGGGAGAGGGCAGGGCCAGGGGTAGAAGACATGCCGGTGGGAAGGTCTATTCTCAGATTCTCAGACACAGCGGCTCCCAGGCCCCATCCGGACCACTGCCTTCTGCAGCTCAGAACAGAACTTCTGCCTGGCTGGCCCCAGCTACTTCATCTGGGGCAAGCAAAGGACCAACGGATTTAAAAACAAAACAAAACAAAAAAGTCACTGCTGACAAGGCCTTCTTGCCCCTAGTTCCAAAGTACAAAAGCAAGTTTTCCTGCAGGACCAGGCCTCGGAGGCCTGATTTTGGATAAGAGGAAAAAAGCTCCTTGCCCAAACAAACGCTTTCCAACTTCTCAATCTCTGTATCTTTCAACAGGCTTCTAAGATCACCTTACTTCCCTCACCTTGTTAGGACTGACCTCTTACCTTCACCTGTGTAAGGAAAAATTAAAAGCCTGTACAGAGGTTGTGAAGGTCGCACACAATTGCGAGAACCAAGCTTATTTGCTTTGGTAATAGGGATAAATTTGTTCAGGTTCCCGGGCATTGAAAGAGTACACAGTATAGCCGGGCATGGTGGCACGTGCGTGCAATTCCAGCTACTGGGGAGGCTAAGGCAGGAGAATTGCTTGAACCTGGGAGGCAGAGGTTGCAGTGAGCCGAGATTGTGCCACACTGCACTCCAGCCTGGGCGACAGAGCGAGACTCCGTCTCAAAAAAAAAAAAAGAGTACACAGTAGATTTTGAAAAGCTTCTGAATCAGAGGAGAGTCAAACAGGGAACTCCCTATAACAAGGGCTGGGATCCTCAGCACATGCACTTACACTATATTTTATTTTATCTTTTGTTTAGAGATGGAGTCTTGCTCTGTCACCCAAGCTGGAGTGCAGTGGTGTGATTTCGGCTCACTGCACTCTCTGCCTCCCGGGTTCAAGTGATTCTCACGCCTCAGCCTCCCAAATAGCTGGGATCAGAAGTGTGTGCCACCACACCCAGGTAATTTTTGTATTTTTGGTACAGACCGGGTTTCACCATGTTGGGCAGGCTAGTCTCGAACTCCTGACCTCAGGTGATCTGCTCACCTCGGCCTCCTAAAGTGCGGGGATTACAGGTGTGAGCCACCATGCCCGGCCTTATGCTATATTTTATGATAAAAAAAAAAAAAAAGCCAGCGCAGCCATAAAAAAGAATGACATCATGTCCTTTGCTGCAACATAGATACATCTGGAGGCCGTTATCCTAAGTGAATTAGCGCAGGAACAGAAAACCAAATACCACATGTTCTCACTTAAAAGTGGGAGCTAAACTGGGTACATGTGGATACAAAGACGGGAAAAACACAGTAATGGCCACGTGCAGTGGCTCACACCTGTAATCCCAGCACTTTGGGAGGCCGAGGCGGGCAACTCACTTGAGATCAGGAGTTCGAGACCAGCATGGCCAACATGGTGAAACCCTGTCCCTACTAAATATACAAAAATTAGCCAGGCATGGTGGTGGGCACCTGTAATCCCAGCTACTCAGGAGGCTGAGGCAGGAGAATCACTTGACCCCAGGAGGTGGAGGGTGCAGTGAGCTAAGATCACACCATTGTGTTCCAGTCTGGGCGACAGAGCGAGACTGTGTAAAAACAAAAAACAAACAAAAAAAAAGGATACTGAGGACTACAAGAAGGCAGCGGAAGGAGGGCAAAGACTGAGAAACTACCTACTGGGTACCGTGCTCAAACCCTGGGTGAGGGGATCAATCATACCCCAAACCTCAGCATCATGTGATATACCCATGTAACAAACCTGCACATGTACTCCTTGAAGCTAAAATAAAAGTTGAAATGATACGTAATATAACCAGCTATTCTGGGAAGCTGAGATCTTCTGCATGCCACATAGTTGACATCAATTTTTAAAATTCAGGTGAGGAGTAAATGCCGGCCGGGCGCGGTGGCTCATGCCTGTAATCCCAGCACTTTGGGAGGCCGAGGCAGATGGATGACCTGAGGTCGGGAGTTCAAGACCAGCCTGGCCGACATGGCGAAACCCTGTCTCTACTAAACATATAAAAATTAATCAGGTGTGGTGGCCCGCACCTGTAATCCCAGCTACTCAGGAGGCTGAGACAGGAGAATCACTTGAACCCAGGTTGCAGTAAGCCAAGGTTGCACCACTGCACTCCAGCCCAGGTGACAGAGCAAGACTCTGTCTCAAAAAACAGTGAACTGCTAGCAGATAGACAAACGTTTAACAGTTCAATGCATAAAAACATTCCAATGACAGCAAAAAAAAACAAGAAAAGGCAAATCAGACTCACGTGTCTCCAGTGCTAGATTTCTAGTAGACCACACTCTTCTCTTCCTGTTCCTTCCCTAGATAAAAATGCAGAACAAAGTTCTGACTACAGATTTCTTCAAGAAAGACCTGTGGATTCTGCAAGAGCAAGAGCCTAGAAAGAGAGAATGAGGAAATGAACATCGTAGTCCACACACAAAACAGGAAAGAGGGAGGCTGTCTGGCTTCACTCTCTCTCCTGGTACGACTGGCACAAAAACGGGTCAGAGGCAAAATTTCCTAAGACTGCTTCCTCTGCGAAATGCTTTACTCCTACCCCCTTCAATCACTGTAGAGTCAACATACTCTTTTCTATGGCTTCAATTCTGCAAGGTTCAGGTCTGACAGGAAATCACATATACCTGATTAGCAGGGTACAAAGGCAAGGGAGAGGGAAAGAGAATCTCTTGGGAGAACTAAATGCATAGACAAAGAAGCAGACTTGGGCGGGTGCGGTGGTTGATGCCTGTAATCCCAATACTTTGGGAGGCCAAGGCAGACGGGCCACTTGAGGTCAGGAGTTCGAGACCAGCCTGGCCAACATGGTAAAACCCCATCTCTACTAAAAATACAATAATTAGCCTGCTGGTAACAGTGTGTGCCTGTAATCCCAGCTATTTGAAAGGCTGAGGCAGGAGAATCGCTTAACCCAGCGGGCAGAGGCTGCAGTGAGCCAAGATCATACCATTTCACTCCAGCCTGGGCAAGAGAGAGACTCTGTCTCAAAAGAAAAAAAAAAAATTAGCCAGGTATGGTGGCACATGCCTGTGGTCCCAGCTACTCGGGAGGCTGAGGCAGGAGAACTACTTGATAAACCCCGGAAGCAGAGTCTGCAGTGAGCCAAGATCGTGCCTCTGCACTCCAGCCTGGGTGATAGAGCGAGACTCCATCTCAAAATAAATAAATAAATAAACAAACAAACAATAAATATAATGAGGGGACAGAGACAACAGCCTTCCAAGATGAATCAGAGAAAGGATCTCTTGCCCAATTACAAGGGAGCAAAGACAACAGGTGTGTGTGTGTGTGTCTCTGAGATAGGGTCTTGCTCTGTCGCCCAGGCTGGAATGCAGCCATGCAATCATAGCTTACTGCATCCTAGAACTCCTGGGCTTAAGCAATTATCCTGCCTCAGCCTCCCGAGTAGCAGGGACTACAGATGCACACCATTATGCCCTGCTAATTTTTCATTTTTTGTAGAAACAGGGTCTCGCTATGTTGCCCAGGCTGACCTTGAACTCATGGCCTCAAGGGATCCTCCCACATCGGCCTCCCAAAGTGTTGAGATGACAGCTGTGAGCCACCACACTGGGCCTGCAGTTTCTTATAAACATATACTTACCATAAGACCCAGCAAGGCCGGGCACGGTGACTCATGCCTGTAATCCCAGCACATTAGGAGGCCGAGGTGGGCGGATCACCTGATGTCAAAAGTTTGAAACCAGCCTGACCAACATGGTGAAACCCTGTCTCTATTAAAAATACAAAATTAGCTGGGCCACCATGCTGGTAATCCCAGCTACCAGGGAGACTGAGGCAGGAGAATTGGTGAACCCTGAAGGCGGAGGTTGCAGTGAGCTGAGATCGCGCCACTGCACTCCAGCCCGGGCAACAAGAGCAAAATTCTGTCTCAAAATAAATAAACAAATAAATAATTATACTGATGGAAAGGAGCCAGACACAAGAGCACATACTGTATGGTTTCAGTTATATGAAACACTAGAGGCCGGGCACGGTGTCTCATGCCTGTAATCCCAGCACTTTGGGAGGCCAAGGTGGGTGGATCACGAGGTCAGGAGTTTGAGACCAGCCTGGCCAATGTGGTAAAACCCCATCTCTACTAAAAATACAAAAAAATTATCCAGGCGTGGTGGCGGGCGCCTGTAGTCCCAGCTACTCGGGAGGTTGAGGCAGGAGGATCTCTTGAACCCAGGAGGCAGAGGTTGCAGTGAGCTGAGATTGCACCATTGCACTCCAGCCTGGGTGACAGAGTGAGACTTGGTCTCAAAAAAAAAAAAAGAAAAAAAAAAAGAAGAAACACTAGAAAATACAAATGCTATAATGACAAAGATCAGATCAGTAGGGCTAGGAGTTGGGACAAGGGGCTGACTGGAAAGAGGCCCTAGGAAACTTATGGGTGATGGAAATGTTATTGTGGTGATAATTACAAGCATGAATAAATTTATCAAAATTCATCAAAATGTGCACTTAAAGAATGCATTTTATTGCATTTAATTATATATCAATAAAACACTGGTTTTAAAAAACTCTCTCATGGGAGGCTGCTCTAGGCAACCTTGAGGATCCCTTTAACCCTAATTCTAGTCCAAGGATTTTCTAAAAAATAAAAAAGGCCGGGCGTGGTGGCTCACGCCTGTAATCCCAGCACCATTTGGGAGGCCGAGATGGGCGGATCACAAGGTCAGGAGATCGGAACCATCCTCACTAACATGGTGAAACCCCGTCTCTACTAAAAATACAAAAAAAAATGAGCCAGGCCTGGTACCAGGCACCTGTAGTCCCAGCTACTAGGGAGGCTGAGGCAGGAGAATGGCGTGAACCCAGGAGGCAGAGCTTGCGGTGAGTCAAGATCTCACCACTGCACTCTAGCCTGGACGACAGAGCAAGACTCCATCTCAAAAAAGAAAAAAGAAAAAAAAAAAAGGTTGGGCATGGGGACTCACACCTATAATCCCAGCACTTTGGGAGGCTGAGGAGGGAGGATCGCTTGAGCCCAGGAGTTCCAGATCAGCCTGGGCAACATAGTGAATTGCCATCTCTACAAAAAATAAAATAAATGAGCCAGGCATGGTGGTGCATACTTGTAGTCCCAGCTACTTGGGAGGCTGAGGCAGGAGGATCACTTGAGCTCAGGAGTTTGAGATTCCAGTGAGCTATGATTGCACCGCTACACTCTAGCCTGGGTGACCAAGTGAGACCCTGTCTCTTAAAAAAAAAAAAAAAAAAAAAAAAAGAAAGAAAAGAAGGAAGGAAGGGAAGGCATATATTAAATCATTTGAAAATTTTAAAAGTCCTGACTACTTTGTTTCACCAACATGATAGTGACAGGCCTATGGTCATGATATTGAAAACCTACTTGGCACTGTAATACAGAAATCTTGGATTTTATTATTTTCCTCCCTGATCCTCATTCCAATATCAGTCATCAAATATTTAAAAAGTAATAATATGCAAATCATACATAAAGAAAATATAGTGGCCAGGTACAGTGGTCATGCTTGTAATCCCAGCTCTTTGGGAGGTAGAGGCAGGTGGATCGCTTGAGGCCAGGAGTTTGAGACCAGCCTGGCTAACATGGTGAAACCCTGTCTCTACTAAAAATACAAAAATCAAAAAATTAGTTGGGCATAGTGGCCCACACCCATCTACTCGGGAGGCTGAGGCAGGAGAATCCTTTGAACCCTGTAGGCGGAGGTTGGAGTGAGCCGAGATCGCGCCACTGCACTCCAGCCTGGGCAACAGAATGAGACTCTGTCAAAAAAAAAAAAAAAAAAAAAAAAAAAATTAAAAAAGAAAATAAAATATAGTAAATATATTTAATGAATGAAAACATGATTTAATTCCCAACTTGACGTTGTATCGTTATAACAATGTATCTGGTAAGTACTTATTTTAAAATTCTAATTCTAATGGGAAAGAAGACAAACTCGGACACTTCAACTCTGAGTTTGGGGACTGCCCCAGTCTTGCACTGAGGGTGCTCCTGTGTGCAAGGGATTGCATCATTCATTCACGCTGTTTGGCAACATGCGGCTGCTGTAAGATTAGACAAGTGAAGTTACCCAAAACATAAATCAATGAAAAGCAAGCCTGAAGATTCTAGGAAATGATCTGCCTATGCGATTAAGAAGAAATGTAGACTCAGAGAGGAAGCCTGGAAGAGGAAAAGGAAAGTCGGCAAAATCAGAAAGTTGGGTGCAGGGAAAGCACAAGCCAGGACTCACGCTGTGTCCTGGGCCTCCGGGGCTCCTTTCGGCTGCAGGGGGCCAGCGCCGGCTCCAATGCTCAGGCGAGCAGTTCCCAGGGAGGTGAACTGTGCAGACTCAGGGCCTCCACTGAACGCTCTCTTGAAATCTGCTGATAAGCAGGGTGGCTTCTGATGAGTTCTGCAAGTGCTTCTGTAAACTGGAGACACCAGATCTCTGTTCTGCAAAGCCGGGCTGGGAGGACGCTTTGGCCCCGCCCCAGGGGAGGGGCTCCCGGAACCAGCCCTCTCCTCCTCCGGGGGCTCAGCGCCTGTATTCCGAGAAGTGCACGGTGCGGAGTGAGCTTTTGCTTTTTCCGCAAAGCCGCGCCCCGTGGCACCTCGGCTTTAAGCTCCTGGACCTTCAGAAGCTGCTCCGCGCTGCCGCCACCACCACTTAGGATCTAAGGGTAGGTGAGGGAAGCAAAGGACCACTGCACTGATTTTGCAATTAATAAAACCCCGTCGGGGGGCCTCTTTTGAAATCCACGTTTGGCATTATGCGCTTGCAGCACTGTAGGTCCCAAAAGAACTTCAAAGACTACTTATATTCTTTTTTTTTTTTTTTTTTTTGAGATGGAGTCTCTCTCGGTCGCCTGGGCTGGAGTGCAGTGGCACGATCTCGGCTTAGTGCAAGCTCCGCCTCCTGGGTTCACAGCATTCTCCTGCCTCAGCCTCCCAAGTAGCTGGGACTACAGGCGCCCGCCACCACACCCAGCTAATTTTTTGTATTTTTAGTAGAGATGGGGTTTCACCGTATTAGCCAAGATGACCTCGTGATCCGCCCACCTCGGCCTCCCAAAGTGTTGGGATTACAGGCGTGAGCCACCACACCCGGCCAAGACTACTTATATTCTCAATTAAAATGCAACCATGAGTAACAAAATGAGTCTTTGCACCTTGTTTTTATTTTATTTTTAATTTTTATTTATGTTTTTAAATAGAGATGGGGGGGCTCCCGTTCCTGGGCTCAAGCGATCCTCCCTCCTCGGCCTCCCAAAGTCTTGGGATTACAGGTGTGAGCTACTGCGCCCGGCCTATTTCTTTTTAAAATTTTTCTGGCCAGGCTCGGCGGATCAAGCCTGTAATCCCAGCACTTTTGAAGGCTGAGGCAAGCGGATCACCTGAGGTCAGGCGTTCCAGACCAGCCTGGCCAGCATGGCAAAACTCCGTCTGGAGCAAAAATACAAAATTAGCGGGGCATGGTGGTGCATGCCTGTAGTCCCGGCTACTTGAGAGGCTGAGGCAGGAGAATTGCTTGAACCCCGGGGAAGGAGGTTGCAGTGAGCCACGATCGTGCCACTGCACTACAGCCTGAGCAACAGAGTAAGACTGGTTTAAAAATATATATATGAATTCCATGTGTCACTTGCCCAGCTCCTTGCATGTAACTACAACAAATAACGGGTGTTTCCCCCAAACATTTACCACTAGAGTTAGCTGGCTAGAGCTGGGCATCGAGGTCCACTCTAAAACACAACCTGAAACCTCAAAGGCTGACAGTCTGAACTCCAGGCTCACTCTACGTTGCTTACCCACACAGAGGATGCAATCCCTGGGGTGGGACACTTGGTCACAGCATCTCTGCCCTTAGCTACAGGACCCTCCTCACCAAAACACAATTTTTTTCCTTTCCCGAGGCTGAATCTCACTGTTTCCCAGGCTGGAGTGCAGTGGTGTGATCTCAGCTCACTGCAACCTCCACCTCCTGGGTTCAAGTGAGTCTCCTGCCTCAACCTCCCCAGTAGCTGGGATTACAAGCGCACGCCACCATGCCCAGCTAGTTTTTGTGTTTTTAGTAGAGACTGGGTCTCATTAGTCTCCAACTCCTGGGCTCAAGTTACTTGGGAGGCTGAGGCAGGTGAATCGCTTGAACCTGGGAGGTGGAGGTTGCAGTGAGGTAAGATCACGCCACTGCACTCCAGCCTGGGCAACAGAATGAGAATCCATCTCAAAAAAACACACAAAAACCAAAAGCATAATAAAAGAAACAAAATGTTAAACACCAGATGTTTGTATCTAAGTATAAGTGGTAACTGAGAATTTATTTTGAGGGGAAAAGAAACTCAAGTAAGTAAATGTGGAAGGCTAGAAGAGTTAACTTATGCTATTTGTGTTTCATAAATGTTTAACATTAAATATTCCTTAAAATATTAAATATTCTTAAAAATTTCAGATAAAATATTTATATTTACTAAAATCTGGCTGGGTGTGGTGGTGCATGCTTACAGTCCCAGCTACTTGGGAGGCTGAGGCGGGAGGATCATTTGAGCTCAGGATTTCAAGGTTACAGTGTGCTGTGATCATGCCACTGTTCTCCACCCTGGGTAATAGAGCAAGCCCTTGTCTCTGAAAAATTAATTAATTAATTAAAATTAATTAATTTTAATGGTCCTGGAATCAACCTCACACTCACACCTGTATTAATACTTGTGGGCATGAGATGGCTGTATTGTAGACATTGTTTTGCTAGAGCACATCACATTAAAAATATGCCTAGAAGACTAGAAGACACTAATGAGTGGTCACATATAACAACCAGGAGGTAATCTTGCCAGAGAAAGCAAAACTGTGAAACAGATTAAAATATGCTTCATCAGGCTGGGCAGAGTGGCTCACGCCTGTAACCTCAGCACTCTTGGAGGCCGAGGCGGGAGGATCACCTGAGGTCACGAGTTCGAGACCAGCCTGGCCAACATGATGAAACCCCATCTCTACTAAAAATACAAAAAGTAGCTAGGCCTGGTGGCGGGCACCTGTAATCTCAGCTACTGGGGAGGCTGAGGCAGAAGAATCACTTGAACCCAGGAGGCAGAGGTTGCAGTGAACCGAGATTACACCACTGCACTCTAGCCTGGGTGACAAAGCCAGACTCTGTCTAAAAACACAAAAAGCAAAAAAAAAAAAAAAAGCTTCAATGCTGTTCTTACTGGAATAATAGCACAAGTGAACCAAATACAATACAGCATAATGAAGGCATAATTACTGGAATAATAGCACGTGAGAACCAAATACAATACAGCATAATGAAGGTATAATAAAAATATTAGCAAATTATTTTGCAAAGTTTTAATCACAATTGGTTAGTCAAAAGTAATACAGGTCATACTACTGTTCCTAAAGGTTTTCTTTCTTCTTTTTTTTTTTGTTTTGAGACAGGGTCTCACTGTCACCCAGGCTGGAGTGCAGTGGCATGATCATAGCTCACTGAAGCTTCGAACTCCTAGGCTCAAACAATCCTCTTGCCTCAGCCTTCTGAGCAGGTGGGACCACAGGTGTGTGCCACCACACGAGGCTGTTTTTTTTTATGTTTAGTAGAGCCTGGGTCTCATTAGTCTCCAACTCCTGGGCTCAAGTCCAAGCGTGATCCACTTTACCCGGCTCTGAAAGATTTTCTATAGATCACATTTTTGTAAGCTAACATTTTTTTTTTTTTTTTTTTTCCTGAGATGGAGTCTCTCTCTGTCACCCAGGCTGGAGTGCAGCAGCGTGATCTCAGCTCACTGCAACCTCTGCCTCCCGGGTTCAAGCGATTCACCTGCCTCAGCCTCCCAAGTAGGTGGGATTACAAGCATGCACCACCATGCCCGGCTAATTTTTGTATTTTTAGTACAGATGGGGTTTCACCATGTTGGACAGGCTGGTCTTGAACCCCTGGCCTCAGGTGATTCACTCGCCTTGGCCTCCCAAAGTGCTGGGATTATAGGAGTGAGCCACCGTGCCCAGCCACAAATTTTCTAATGGCTAATTATGTTAGAATCATGTACTCTTTTTAAAAGTCATTCAGTGCTAATAGCCTTCTAAAATATCGTAAATTGAAACAAGCCCTCCAGAAACAACATGGTGTTATTCAGTAACATCGAACACAAGCGGCAGAGCGCAGTGGCTTACTCCTGTAATCCCAGCACTTTGGGAAGCTGAGGTGGGCGGATCACGAAGTCAGGAGATCAAGACCATCCTGGCTAACACGGTAAAATCCCGTCTCTACTAAAAATACAAAAAAAAAAAATTAGCCGGGCGTAGTGGCAGGTGCCTGTAGTCCCAGCTACTCGGGAGGCTGAGGCAGGAGAATGGCATGAACCCAAGAGGCGGAGCTGCAGTGAGCCAAGATCGCACCCCTGCACTCCAGCCTGGGCGACAGAGCGAGACTCCATCTAAAAAACAAACAAACAGAAAACATTGAACACAAGCAATTTCTACGACCCAGCAATTCCACCTGAGGAAGACACTCAGGAGAAACTTGCATGATTAAGCTGGCTGGGTGTGGTGCCTCATGCTTCTAATCCTAGCACTTTGGGAGGCCTAGATGGGAGGATCCCTTGAGCCCAGGAGTTCAAGACCACCTTGGGCAACATATTGAGAACTAATCTGTACAAAAAATAAACAAAATTAGCTGGATGTGGTGGCACACATCTCGAATCCCAAGTACTTGGGTAGCTGAGGTGGGAGGATGACTTAAGCCTAGGAGGTTGAGGCTGCGCTAAGATCACGCCACTGCACTCCAGCCTGGGTGACAGAGTGAGACTCCACCCCCCAAAAAAAAGAAAAAAAAAAAAAAGAGGCTGGGTGCAGTGGCTCATGCCTGTAATCACAGTACTCTGAGAAGCTGAGGTGGGCAGATCACCTGAGGTCAGGAATTTGAGACCAGCCTGACCAACATGGAGAAACCCTGTCTCCTCTAAAAATACAAAATTAGCTGGGTGTAGTGGCGCATACCTGTAATCTTAGCTACTCAGGAGGCTGAGGCAAGAGAATCGCTTGAACCCGGGAGGCGGAGGTTGTGGTGACCCGGGATTATGCCATTGCACACTTGCCTGGGCAACAAGAACAAAACTCTGTATCAAAAAAACAAACAAACAAACAAAAAAAACCTGACACTTGTATGACTGGAGGAGCCACATATATGTAAGAATTTTCACAGCAGTACTGTGAACATTCTCAGTTACTGTGATACTCCAATAGCCACCGGAAACTTTAAAAAGAGACTATCATTTAATGTCATAAATGATAACTTACAACATAAAATTCAGGACAGTAGTTACTTCTGAAAGTAAGAAAGGAAATGAGACTGAGAAAAGGTATGTAGAGTTAATAATGATACTATAACAATAATGTTCCTTTAAGTAGGATGGTAGGTATACAGATGCTTTTTATATCTGTGTGTATAAAATATTTGCTAATAAATGTAATATTTCTTATCAATACATTAAATACCAATACACTGCCGTCCAGGCGCAGTGGCTCACGCCTGTCATCCCAGCACTTTGGGAGGCCGAGGCAGAGCAGATCACAATGTCAGGAGA